GTGGAGGATCTGATTTGCCTTCTCTCTCTATCTCTTGTGAGTTGATACTTATCAAAGAGAAGAGTTGCAGAATCATCCTCTTCAACATGTTCAGTTTCATCTTCAGTTTCAGGTAAAATAACATGTTCTTCATTTTCATTTTCTTCTGTAGTAGTTACAGAAATATTCTGGTTACTGCAGGAAGGCTCCACCTCAATTTGAACATCTTTTTCAGTCAAAGTATTTTCTTTCTTTCAAGACATGGCATCAATGATTCATTGAAAACTACATCTTTTTTAATTATTACTCTATAACTTTTTTTTAGATTTAATCTGTACCTTTAACATGTTCATCATAACCCAAGAAAACACACTTTAATGATCTTGGTTCTAGTTTACCAATATTTTGATAAGTATAGGCAGCACAACCAAATATTTTTAAATAAGAGTAATTTACAGGACTATTTGACCACACATTTTCAGGAATAGCAAAGTTTAGTGCACTAGTAGGACTTCTATTAATCAGATAAGCTACAGTTTTAACTGCTTCACCCCAAAATATTTTAGGCAGTCCAGAGCTTAATAGCATACATCTAACTTTATTTAACACAGTTCTATTCATTCTTTCAGCCATTCCATTTTATTGTGGTGTGTGTGGAATAGTTTTGTGTCTCATGATACCATATTCCTTACAAAGATTATCAAATTCAGAATTGTAAAATTTCAAGCCATTATCAGCTCTTAAATATTTTATTTTAAGATCAATTTGATTTTCAACTTGAATTTTCTAGTTCTTAAAAGCAAAAAATGTCTCATCTTTAGACTTTAGTATATGAACCCAAATTTTTCTTGAGAAATCATCAACTATTAGCAAAAAATATTTAAAATCAGTTAAAATAGAGACAAAAGCAGGACCCCACAGATCAGCATGCAAATACTCAAATCTTTGTTTGTACTTATGAATTCCACTTTGAAAATGAAGTTTGGCTTGCTTTCCCAAAATACAATGTTCACAAGAGCCAAAATCACCAAGATTATGTTTTCCAAAAACACATTTTGATTGCAAAATATTTAAACCCTTTTTACCAATATGACCAAGCCTTTCATGCCACAGTTTTGCCAAAGTAAATTTTTCAGATACAACAGAAGCAGTTAATCCAAGCAAAGGTTTTGCATTCAGACAATAAAGGCCATGTCTCTTAGGGGCTGAAGTGACCAAGTCATTTCCCCTAAAAAATTTTATATGTCATTGACCCATAATTATGTTAAACTCCTTGTCATCTAACATTCCTAAGGACTCTAAGTTTCTTTTCAAATTTGGGACATGTCTTGTGTTTTCCAGAAACAAAACATAACCATTTTCTACTAATAATTTGACAGTCCCAATTCCATTCACTTTACATGCAAAGTTGTTTTCCATTATAACCTGTCTCCCTTTGGTTCTTTCTAAATTTATAAAACAGTTTTTTATTGGGGCACATATGAAAAGAACATCCTGAGTCAAGTATCCATTCATTACTTAGGCATTTTTCAGCACTTACTAACACAAAGCCATTTTCTGTTTTAGTTTTATCATAGGACAGTGCATTGCTTCCATCAAGGCTCTTTTCTTTTGAATCATTTTTCTTTTTAAAACAATCTTTTGCAAAATGACCAAGTTTACCACAATAATAGCATTTTTTACCTTTTGCATTATTTTTGGTCTTATTTCTGTCAACCCATCTCCTATTAGTTTTTGAAAACTTAAAATTTTGTGTGGATTTTTCAAAAGATTTTCCTTTAGTTAAAAAAATAGTTCCAGTATGACTGTTACTTGACTCAGCCTTAATTTTAAAGCTTTATTCCTTAAAGCATTGGTTATATCATCAACAGTGAGTTCATCCCTACCATATTCAAGTGCAACTTTAATGTCCTTGTACTTATCACTTATGGAGTTTAACAGAACTACAGCCAATTGATCTTTTGAAAGTTTTTCATCACAATTGGCCAAGTCTTGGGTAAGTTTTGTGAACCTACTAAGGTTCTCTTCTATGTTAACTGCAGGATCCATTTTAAAGGAGAAAAATTGTTTTAGGAGAAAAATTGGTTTAAGAGAAAACATTTATTTGAAGTGGTTTTGGTCTCATACTTAGCCTTAAGGTTTGCCCAAAGATCAGAGGCAGTAGTAGTTTCACCTACTTTCTGATCACATTATTAGACAAATACAGAAATACGGTACTCCAAGCAATTTCCTCAAGTTCAGATTTCTTATTAGGAGCTATGCCCTCAGGCCATGAATCATCTAAGGACTTGGCACATTTCATTTGCATTAAAATTGCTCTCATTTTCTGACTTCACATATCAAAATCAATTTTGCCATCAAACTGACTAACTTCAAATTTAGCAGTAGCCATAGTGCAGACAATTTTTCATACAAGATCAATTTGGACTCACAATAGTTTATCCAAGAAGTCAAGAAATGCAAATTTATATCAAGTTTGAAATACAATAGAACACACAGTAATACAAAGTTTCACAATTCTCGCAATATTAGAAGAAAACAGGCAAGATCAATTAACAAACAACAATCACAGAAACTGAATTCAAGGTTTCACAGTTCTCTCCAACAAGATTCTCCAAGTGCACACCCGTACTTGATTTATCTCGGATTCTAGGGGCCTCACAGAAGCCACTGGACAAAGATTAGTCTCAAGGAGGTTTCAACGGTGCACGAAAGAATCAAGGAAAAATTTAGGAAACTCAAGTTTCTGAAAAATTAATTTACAGAAAATTAAAAAAGATCTCACCAAACGAGTTAAATAACTAGTATTGTTTTAAATCTGCCTTTTGGCAATTCCAAAAACTCAGGACCGTTGCAGGTCCACCAATTTCTCTAAGATCCAGATATCTTGTTCCTTTGGCCGTAGCTCTGATACCACTGTTAGGACAGGACCACACGATATTAAAATTGAGAGACAAGAAAACCTTAATCGAACAGAAATAAATTGTAGAAAATTAAAAAGAACACAAAGGAATTATTTCGGCCTAAGCCCCGGAGGTTCGACGACCACATCTAACGCCTACATCCCTCGTTGAGCATCCAAAGATTTGGATTGTGTTCGGTTGCACTAAACAGCCAAAAATGGCAATAGATTTACAGAACGTTCAGAGAGATGTAAATGAGACTTATCTCTCAAGCACAGCAACAGATCTACAGAGATTCACTCAGATCTCAGCCAACAAAACCTTCGAACACCACCAAATGATACAACAGAGAAATCACTCAGATTTCTCCACCATTCACAGAGAATACAACAATTGAAGGAAGATCTCACTATACCACTCAAAGAAAATCAGTCTCTCTCAAATCGCCAATCCTTTTCTCTCTGAAAACCCTATAGACGAGAGCAAAAATGAAGGGTTCAAACTGACGTTCCAGAAGGATCCAGCCATTTAACAAAAGGCATATGAAACGGTTTAATCCAACGTCTAGAAATAGTTCACGTGTTGGCCATCCAGTAAAGTGTCAACACTTACTAAGTCGTGTTTAATAAAACACGATTTCATCACAAATCAAATTATGGAAGCATTAAATAGGCGAACAGGGTTCGACTCCAACAGCAACCAAAATCAAAACAATATTCCAAACACTGTAGAAGACATAGCCAGTTTATTATATTCTTCCGACACCATCGAAGTGAGCGAAAGGATTGTTTCATTGCACAAAAATTTGATAGCAATGGTCTAAGTAATTGTGAATCGATTCAAATTAGATGAAGAAAACCATCTCACAGCGCCATGAAGCCATTATGCGCAGCGCTCCTCATCGCTACTTAGTAACACTCACACACGTTGTCTTCCATGTAATAAAGAGAGAGAAGGTGTGAACTGGGTGGATGCAGTAGGGACAACGACGATGCTCTGTTGGTATCGTGCAGTAATGAGAAAGAAGAGAGAAGGGAGAGAAAAAGAGAGAAAGGAAATGGTAAAGTATTAATTTGCAAATACAGATTTTTTTAAATAGAATTTGTATAGGAAGACAGTTGTACTGTACAAAATCTGTACTTATAGCATTCAACTGGAAAATATTGGTCCGTCATTTTCGAAAATACATTTTTGAAAACGAGTTAAAATTTATAACTGAAAACGCAAAACGACATTTTATCATTTTGAGCGTTTTCAGTTATAAATTTCCAAAATATGGAAAACGCCCAAAATGTGCCGTTTTCGGGGAAAACTAAAAATCGTTTTGAAATCGAAAATGGAAAATGGAAAACTAAACCAACTGCAGCCTAGGATTTGGGAGTGAAATTTGTTGGGGCGGATGGAGTTAGGGTATATATGTAAATTATTTTAATTTTATAATTTATTATTAATATTAAAATATAAAATTAAAACTTGATTTTTGTATAAACAAAACTTAAATTTTATTTTTGAAATTGGAACTTAAAGGAGTGTCTCTGTGCGATTTCCACTAGTGTTTATGCGTAAACCCAATAATTAAAAGGCCCACCCATTGACAATCCTGCCCGAATATAGGAGCATACCAGTTGACATCCAAACATCAATTCACCAATTTTTTGGCTATTTTTTTTTTCCCACATAGAAATTTTGAATTAAAATGAAAATTTTGATCAATAAAAAATGACGGAAAAAATATTATCAATTATCTGGACAGTTGCGAGGGAACAATTTTGCAGATTTATTTATTTTAAATAAAATTTCTCGATTAACTTAATTTACTCTCCCAGAGTACAAATGAAACAAAAATAAGAGATCGAAAATTTAAAATTTTCAATTGAAAAGTTAGCTATGTTTGGATTTAAGATAAGCTACTACACCAAACATTTTCTTAGGCATCTAAATTTAAGATGAGAGAAGCTTGCACAAATTTTCATTCTTTGGTTTGATATAAATAAAAACTAATAAACACAAAATAGAAATGAGAGCAAATATTAGAAATCAGGGGCGATCAACATAATTTGAAAAATGTTGTAGGGCTAGACCTGCAATTTACGAAACTGTCAAGGATATCCCTTTCACTCTCACTTGATGCTCCCCGCAATACACAGATACAAGTTTAAACAAGTACACACAGCATAACCTTGAAGACTACTCGTCTACTCTCCTCCCACACGGGTCGCAGATCGATCTCTGCTACTTGACATCGCAAGGCCCCTGATTTTATAATTCTCACTGTGTAAGATATCTGTTCTCCATCAATTTCGTTGTCCCTTTTGGTTCCTCTATCTGTTGTGTTTTATTTCGATATTACACTTTTTCTGTTGACTCTAGTCATGTTAAGAGAAATAAGATATCTTGTTGAAGTTATATTTGAATTGGGTTCTTCAGCAATTGAAATTTATGGAATGTTTTCTGGTTCTCTAATGCAATCTGTGTTTATTGACCTGTATTTGCTTGAAAATTTACCATATCTCTTGTTGTATGTTTTATTGTGCTTGAAAATTCGTGAGAATCACATAAACTTGGTGGAATTGATAAATTAAGAATGACTGCCGTGGAATTGTTGAATTTGAAATTTGGCTCAGCCAAATGCCTTGTAAGTCAGACTGTGAAATACACACAGGCTCTCAAGTCTCATAAGTATACAAATACTAGTCCAAGAAAGAGTCGCTGGAAAAATTAAATTTTGCTCAAGCATCAATTCTAGGTGAAGAGAACGCGGGTCCATCCTACAGGAAACCTTGGATAGTTGATTAACTAGCTTATGCTCTTCTTAAGTGCTTTCTGTGTAAGGTTGCCCAACCATTTTATCAAAAAAGTGTCAGAAATTTGTTCCCAACTAGAAAAAATGTTCTTCGTCCATAATTTCATCAATGCCTTCTTTTGGCTTCCAAGCAAACAATCAATCAAATTCTCTCCATTAGACTCTTATCATTCCCATCAGACCCTTGAAATCTAGATAAATATGGGACATTTTATATATGGTTAATTTGGAAGTCATGTGTTAAATCCTCAACATATGCATTAGCCACGCTCATGATAGAAGGAAATTATGTATTTCGAGAATCGCTAGAGTCTTGAATGCGAGGATTGCATCGAAACTCGAAACAGTTGTGCAACTAATTATATTCGACATAGTTTGGGCTATCATGATTGGATTTCAGTTTGTTATTGGAACTATTAATTTTACCACGAGTCACCAATCCAAAACCTCTCTCATCGAGAAGATCTTGGGCTGGGCTAGATTGAGTCTCACTCCTGTTAGTGACAACCTCCTAACTGCTGCAATCAAAGAAGAGAAATGCTCATATCCATAACTAGAACTAAATGTATTATAAAACTGAAACAACTAATCACTGATTTCAGAATTTTTTCTTGCTTTGACATTAAAAGGGAAGAAAAACATAGGATCTAAAACATAGAGACAACAAGAAAAATGAAAAGAAAGGGAAAAAGGGTGAAGTTACTTGTTGCTGGTCACTTGTAATTGGTTCTCTGGCGTCGGAAAGTTGCAACTTCACTGGGATTTTATTTATTTATTTTTTTGTTTAGGGGGGGTGGGGGGTTGCACTTCAGTTGTAGAGCCAATGCATGTACTGGCTCTTAACTTTTTAGCTTTTGCAACTCCATCCTTAATACCTTCTTGGTCTATAAAAATCAACCCAAAAGCTGAGACTAGTAAAACAACAGCTCAATAATAGCAAGATTGCCTTGAGGTGTGTTCCTTAGTATGTCAAGGCATAAACCTTAACAATGGGCATTCAAAGTGTAAGTTTTGAGGCTCCTAATGAAGGATTGCTTCAAATGCATTAGCCTGTGACACATTTGAAAGACCATGAATTGTATTCGTTGATCAGATGTGCCTATGAAGATTTAATAGGACTATGGTCGATCTTGAGGAAGAACCTAGTAATTAAAAGCCGTCCTCCTGGAGGAAATGTGTTTGACTGTATGATATAATGAACAGTAAATACAGAAGATAAAAAATAAATAAATTGATAAGAGATCAAATGTAGTATCAGATGCATTTGTGACTAAGCTACCTCATTTTTGTATTACATAAGTTTTGGGCATATTTAAGCATTGGAGTGATTTTGCTTCAAAGTTGAAGTATCAGTTTAACTTTTGTTATAGATAGATATGTAGATTGGGGTGCAATGCTAAGTGGCTTGTAATGAGATAACTGTGCAGAGAGAGTATGACATTTGAACAATAATGCTAATTGATGTTGATTTCTATAGTTATTATTCATTGTAGTTGTAGAAACATCATTCTTTGCTAATTTACCATTTTATTCTTGCCTAAACGATGCATCTATTCCTTCGCATCTTATATCCAATGTACCTGCCCACAAAATCATGACTCCTTTAATGCTATTAATGATATGCTAATTTATTTATTCCTATTGCAGGTATTTTGCACAATTAGTGGGTGCAGTTAGTAGTATGATGGCACGTTTGCTTTCTACCTCATGTCCTTTAGATATTGCTTCCAGCAGCAGGTCATACTACAAACCATCAAACCAAGGCTCAATTTCACTCTCTTCATCTCTTAGTTTGCGTATTTCTTGCCTGCCATTGAAGAGGCTTTCTATCCATGGAAAAAAGTCACAAAGACGCTGTACCATATATACAGCAGCTGTTTCCACGAGCCAAGAAGCCAAAACCGAACCTGGTACTGGTTCTTACCGTAGTTCGAGTGAAGCTTCCACTCCAAAGAAGGTCATGGTAATTGGTGGTGACGGATACTGTGGTTGGGCTACTTCCCTTCACCTGTCCAACAAAAATTACGAAGTTGCCATTGTTGACAACCTTGTTCGTCGCCTTTTCGACCACCAGCTTGGCCTTGATTCTCTCACACCTATCTCGTCTATCCATAACCGGATCAGGCGTTGGAAGTCTTTAACTGGTAAAGACATTCAACTCTACGTTGGTGACATATGTGACTTTGAGTTCTTGTCTGAGGCCTTCAAGTCATTGAAACCCGATGCTGTTGTCCATTTTGGAGAACAGAGGTCCGCTCCCTACTCCATGATCGATCGGTCAAGAGCCATATTCACCCAACAGAACAATGTGATAGGGACACTTAATGTTCTCTTTGCTATAAAGGAGTTTAAAGGGGATTGCCATCTTGTAAAACTCGGAACCATGGGCGAATATGGGACTCCAAATATAGATATCGAGGAGGGTTACATAACAATTACACACAATGGCAGAACAGATACTTTACCTTATCCCAAGCAAGCAAGCTCCTTTTACCATCTTAGCAAGGTCCATGATTCTCACAACATTGCGTTTACTTGCAAAGCTTGGGGGATTAGAGCCACTGATCTAAATCAGGGAGTGGTCTATGGGCTTAGAACAGATGAGACAGCGATGCATGAAGAGCTGTGTAACAGGCTTGATTATGATGCAGTATTTGGAACTGCATTGAATCGGTTCTGTGTCCAGGCTGCTGTTGATCATCCACTTACAGTCTATGGCAAAGGGGGTCAGGTAATGAATTTGCATGTTGACTCATCTTTGCATTCTGATCATTAGAAACTTTTTCTATGCCCAAAGATCATTTTGGGATGAGGCAATATTAAAGTTGAAATTTTTTTTCATGCTGCTTAATATATATCGACTCTTTTAATGCTATTATTAAAATTGAAATCTTGTTTTATGCTGCTCAATATATATCGACTCTTTTAATCCTATTATTCAAGAAGGTACCCTCCAGTCGTACTAGCACAAAACTACATCACTCTCACCTCTTGCAAATGCATGAAGCATCCAAGCTGAGTACTTAATATTCACCCAGTTATATGGTACACTCATCAGATATTTTTGGTGATCATATTTTAGAATTATATCGAAGATATTTACTTGTTCTATTACTATTTCAAATAGACTGGATTGGAAATGACGCTTAGCCTAGATCAGCGCTCAATATTTTCTGATTCATTCTCTTTATACACAGACGAGGGGGTATTTGGACATAAGAGACACAGTTCAATGCGTTGAGCTTGCAATTGCCAATCCAGCCCAGCAAGGTGAATTCCGGGTTTTTAACCAATTCACTGAGCAGTTTTCGGTCAACCAGCTTGCCACCCTTGTTACCAAGGCAGGAGAGAAACTTGGCCTTCAAGTGCGAACCATATCCGTACCCAATCCAAGAGTCGAGGCAGAGGAACATTACTATAATGCCAAACATACGAAGCTTGTTGAATTGGGTCTCAAACCGCACCTTCTCTCAGATTCTCTTCTTGACTCGTTACTCAACTTTGCTGTCCAGTACAAGGATCGAGTTGACACTAAACAGATAATGCCAAGTGTTTCGTGGAGAAAAATTGGAGTCAAGCCAAAGACTGTTTCTGCCTAATGAAAACAAGCGGGTCTAGTGCAGTGCATGTCTGAATTATCATATTCCCCAACTTTTACTCGTCATTGATGATCTGCACGGTGCAAACTCCAGAGGATTTATTTAATATAACTGAATTGTTGAAACTCCATTCTAACTTGCTCTATACTCAATATATTAATGGATTTTAAACGACCAACTTGTAATTCTGTCCAAACAAGCCTGGTTGTGGGCAAGAAAGGGTTTGAACATCAGGAACTACTAGCACCATTTTTAAGAGATTATTTATTTTTCGAGATTGGTATTAAATAACATTATTCTTTTTTTATATACCCAATCCTACGAGCACCATTTTCAAGAGATTATTTATTTTTCTAGATTGGTATTAAATAACATTATTCTTTTTCCATATACCCGGTCCTACGAGCACCATTTTCAAGACATTCTTTATTTATAAAGAGCATTTTATGTATTAGAATGTTAAATTTTTATATAATCCAACAAAGCTTTTTGTTTGGTTCTTCATTTTCCTTTTCTCAAGAAACATTTATTAATTTCTCCTCATATCTTATTTAAATTATTGAAATGCGTAATTTATTAAATGCAATTATTGTGCATTAAAAATATAGAGTGAGTTTGATTATTTTAATTTGAAGAATCAAACACACTCTCTATAATTTTAATTTTAAAAATTAGCTTTTTAAAATAAAGAACATTTTGTATTTAAAAAACTCTAAAAAAGAAAAATCACTTATTAGTCAAAAGCAATTACAATTCAAATGCTACAAAAAATTTCAACTTAAATCGTATCAAATTACATTACACACTGAGTATCGTCGCCCTTCAAATTTATTGGTTGAAAGAGGTAATATAAATTCATTACCGTAACTCAAATTCGGAAGGTCATAACTTCCTCAAACTCTAAAGCATCATTGATATCACCTCTTGTTCTCTAGGAAGATGAGGTCTTTGCTCTGACGTCATTTGCTACCGGACACCAGAGTAGCCTTGTTTGAATTAATAGGAAAGTTGTTGGAAGGTTAGTTAAAAATCTATTCATATTCTTATCCACTAGATTTTAGAAAAATCGTCTATTGCTGCTGTGTCTAGAATTTTAACGTCAAACCTAATGCTACTAGGTCAATTGGCATTTTGACAAGTTTGTCAATAAAGAAATCAGGACAAATATATATATCACTGTTCAATGAGAAATGTTATTCATCACCACTAATATTAAGTATGAGTCTAGATTGGAATTAAATGAATCATTTATTCATTTAAATGTAAAGTCACGTGACTCATTTAATTGAACCTATAAAGTGCAACCATCTCGACTGGTGCTAGATAGCATTATTTCTATTCAAAACCAACCAACCTTCACTATGGTCAATAATTAGTCCAAAGAAAAAAAAAAATTCTATATTATGGATGAGCTAATTCCTAATAATATAGAAGCAAAAAGAAGTGCAAGGCCAAATAACATTGACATCATGCCATACCAAGCAGCAATGAACCAATGGTTGGTTAAAGCATAAAGCACATCCACGGGGAACAAAACTAACTGGAAACAGCAATATTATAGTCAGACTCCGACCACATCGAAAGAAATTCCAGCTTGAGGAAAAAGGAGAGAGGACAAAATGCAAATGAAGCTCTATAAACAAGACTTTACTTAATTGTACGGCCAAATTAACTCAACGAGACGGTAAAAATTTGTCCAACATCACAACTACACCTTTCATTGAGAATCTAAGGTCATACGTATTCTACAACTTCCCTTCACTAGCGTAAAAATGAACCCACTGGCAACAATGTTAACTCCAGTTGTCTCTCAGAGGAGAAAAGAATGCACGCAAGTAACTAATCATATGCACCTTGGAGTAATTTAATAAGCAGAAGAACATCTTACCAGTGTCATCAGGCTAAAATTCTCCATGGTTAGTCATATTTTCCCTAAGATCCTACCGCAACAATTCCTTTTGATTTGGCTGCGGCAGCTGCAGCAGCAGCCGCTGCTGCAGACGCTGCTGGATTAGGCATTGAGGGAGGAATAGCACTGGATTGTGATTTATTTTGTGTTGCAACTATCTGTTGCTGCTGCTGTGTTTGCTGCCAGTTTACCTTGGCAAGTATGGCGTTGATCTGACTTCCTGTAAGTGTCTCGTGCTCGAGCAAAGCATTGGCAAGAACATGGTGCTCTTTACTATGTGAGATGAGAATGGCTTTGGCGTTGGCATATGCTGTTTCCAATAATTCTTTAACTTCATTTTCGATTTGGAGCCTAGTTTCGGTGTTCATGCTCTTACCGTTATCATCATAATTGTGAGTAACAAACCCGCCTTGTTTACCCATGCCATACTTTGTAACCATCACTCTTGCAAGATTGGTTGCTTGCTGGAGATCACTTGATGCACCTGAAGTCACTTCGTTCTCTCCAAAGATGAGCTCTTCCGCTACTCTCCCACCCATGCAAACATCGAGATCAGCAAGCATCTGCTTACGCGATTTACTCGTGTGAGAAGAAGAGAAGAAGAAAAGTTGGGAAGAAAGGGTGGTGAAGGGGGTTGTTCTGCCGGGCGCCTAGGCGCCACTCACCTGGCGCCTAGGCGCCCCGAGTGCAAAAGACGGGCAGAAACCCGGCGCCTAGGCGCCCCGATAGAGTATATATATCCATTCTTTTTCCCTCTTTCATTGTAACATACACAACCCAAGACCTAGAGAGAAAGAGAGAAAACTTTGGAGAGAATTTTTACAAGATAGAAGGTTGTTCATCTTGGGTATAAATTCAAAGGTATTTTCTTTCTTGGGGATTAACTTGAGGCTTGTTCAAGTAATCCTAACACATTGATTATCATATATTCCATTGGATTCATTTCTTCCTCATTTTCTTGTTCTTCATGTATTTTGGAAATTTTCACTTTGCCAACTTAGTTTGTTTCTTGGGCATTCATTAGGAGGTGTTTTCCTAACAATTTGGTATCAGAGCTCCTTCCAAAATCAAGGTGGTTAAGCTTCGATTTTGTGGTGAGTTGCATGAACTTTGTTGTGCACAAGGTGTTTGTGAAAATTCCCAAGTGAACTTTTGTGATTTATTTTCGGTAAACAAGTGAGTAAATCATGTCTACTAGAGGAATGATGAAGATTGGGAAGTATGAGATAGAAAAATTCAATGGGAAGAATGATTTTTCATATTGGAGAATGCAAATGAAAAATTTGTTGATTTCTCAAAAGTTGCACAAGGCATTGGCGGGAAAGGAGAAGAAGCACGTTGATATGTCGGACGAGGATTGGGAAGAGTTAGATCTTGAGGCACGAGCGTCTATCATTCTTTGCCTTGAAAGAGATGTTGCTTTCTTAGTTGATAGTGAGGTAACGGTGGCGGAGGTGTGGACAAAGTTGGAGGCAAACTTCATGATGAAGGCTCTAACAAATAGGATCTATTTGAAGTCCAAATTGTATACTTGCAAGATGGATGAAGGTACACCAATCCGGGAGTACGTCAACAAGTTTGATAGGATCATATCGGACTTGAAGGACATTGATGTGGATGTAGATGATGAAGATCAAGCACTTCTGCTACTTCTTTCATTGCCAAAGTCTTACGAGAACCTAGTATAAACATTGATGCTTGTGGGTGATAAACTTGTGATGGAGGACATTAGAACGTCACTTCTAGCGGATGATCTTCGAAAGATTGCAACTAGTGGCATGTCTACCATTGGTAACAAGGAGCAAGCTCAAGGATTGTTTGTAAGGGGTAGAAGCAATGTGCGACCAAAGGGCAAGGGAGAAAAATCTAGATCGAGTTCTAGACCTCTTGCGGAAAGGTCTTGTTTCAAATGTGGCGAGCTTGGGCATTTCAAGCTGAATTGTCCAAACAAAAAGGGTTGGAAGAAGAACAATAAGAACAACAACAGCGGGAAGGTGCAAGTCAAGCAAGAGGTAAGCTATGCCTCGGAAGGAGGGGAAAGTGATGAATGCTACACCATCTCTTGTGATGAAGAGACCTCCGGTAAGTGGATTCTTGACTCCGGATGCTCTTACCATATGTGTCCAAATGGGAAGTGGTTTACTACCTATAGAAGCACTGAGTGTGGAACCGTGTTGATGGGTAATAACCATTCATGTAAAACGGTGGGGCTTGGTTCAATTAGAATCAAGATGCATGATGGAGTGGTTAGAACATTGATGGATGTTAGACATGTTCCTGATTTGCGAAAGAACCTTATCTCTGTTGGTGCCTTAGACTCCGGTGGTTGCAAGATTGTAACATGGAATGAAGTAAAGAAGGTTGTTCGTGGTTCCTTGATTGTGATGAAGGGTATTCGTGAAGGCAATCTCTATGCACTTCAGGGTACTACAGTTACTGAAGATGTAGCAGTTGGAACAAGTGGAAGTGGTGAAGACTCAGGTATTTTGTTACATTTGTTGATGATTATTCTAGATATGCTTGGATTTATTTTTTGAAGCATAAGAATGAGGTATTCAACACCTTCAAGAAGTGGAAAGCAATGGTTGAAAACAGAACAGGAAAGAAAATGTAGCAGTTGGAACAAGTGGAAGTGGTGAAGACTCATGTGAGTGCACTCGGCTATGGCATAGGAGGCTTGGGCATATGTCTGAAAAGGGGCTAGATTTGCTAGTCAAGAAAGGCTTGCTAAAGAACTTGAAGAAGCCTTGCTTGGACTTTTGTGAGCATTGCGTGTACGGTAAAGCACACCGAGTTCAGTTCCAGCCAAGCAAACATAGAAGCAGAGGCATTCTTAACTATGTGCATACGGATGTATGGGGCCCGGCTTCTGTCACTTCCAAAGGTGGTTCCAGGTATTTTGTTACATTTGTTGATGATTATTCTAGATATGCTTGGATTTATTTTTTGAAGCATAAGAATGAGGTATTCGACACCTTCAAGAAAGTGGAAAGCAATGGTTGAAAACAGAATAGGAAAGAAATTGAAGACACTGAGATCTGATAACGGTACTGAGTATACAGATGGTGCTTTCAAGGAGTTCTATGGTAAGGTAAGGAAGGCATTGCGAGACACTGGACAGTTAGAAATACACCGCAAACAGAATGGGGTCGCTGAAAGACTGAATCGCACATTTCGAGAGAAATCGATGTGTATGCGATCCTATGCTGGTTTGGGCAGAGAATGGTGGGCAGAGTCGGTTGCAAATGCTTGCTATATTGTGAACCGGTCTCCACATTCAAGGTTAGATGGAGATGTACCTTATAGGGTATTGACAGGAGAACATGCAGATTATGAGAAACTCAGAACATTCGGATGCACAGCCTA